AAAAGAGGTGGAGGTATCAATAAAATAGATCATTTCAATGCACGCAAACCCACAAAGTTTGCGAAAAATCGGCGTAACCAATCAACAAATCGCAGGTGAGACACGTACACACCGCGTCGTATGCTTTACGTAAATACTTGCAAGTGAATGTGGCGCTTACGTTAAAGTGACATGAAATCCCCCATTATTAAAAAATAACGAGGGCCGTTTGAGAAATATGGATCAAAGAAAAAAAATTAATAATAATAATAATTATAATAATAAATAAATAATTTAGTAGTTATCAGATTTTAAAGGCTGATTCGTCGATTTGACCAACTGTAGGTATTTTGAAGGTTCTAGCCATTCACAGACTAAAGAAAAATTAATTGTTATGTTTGCAGTTCTATGGTTTCCTACGCATTAATTTCATGCAAAAATTGTGTAATCTTTTCAAAGGATAAGTAAAACGCATTATAGTGATAGTATGCTCTAGAATATTACCAGACTCCCACCTCCGCAAAACAATAATTATTGTTGAAACTACATGTGTATTGATGGTGTATCCCGTTAGTGAACAAGGCCTTATTTGGTTTTGGTTATTGAATACAAACATTTAGTCGTTACCCACACCGCACTCATGTCCTTAAGTCACGATGTGTCAGACATAACCACATTATCAGGTGGGGGTGACAATGAAACTGTGACGGCATGTATGTTTGGATGTATGTATGTATGGCAAATGTAATGAAATGCAAGGAAAATATTGAAAACAAAAACTTTATGGTTTCAAGAAATAACGAAGTTGGTTGAAATGTTGCACAATTTTACAGGTTCAGTCACATGCAAACGGTGCATGAAGAAAGTAAATCGCTTGAAAGTTCAGGGATACAATAAACGCTACGCTAGAAATGTCATCATGGAGCAACATGAAGTCTCGGTTAGTTAAATTCAATTTTAGTGGTTTCCAATATTTGTTCTTAATAAATTTATAGAAATCGTATTAGGTTTAAATAAAAAATATTTCTTGAAAGAAACAAGATCTAAACTTGCTTGTTTCCTAACTAATAATATAACGAAAATCATGAAAATAATTTGAAATAAAAACGTAAAAGCTAACTAACGATGTGAAAAATTAAAAACGATGTTATGAAAATCTAAAAAATAAAACAAGCCAGCATTACATTTGTACATTTTTTTATTCAGAGTTTTTAAAGGGATTTAATATTTATAGCTGCATTCACCAGTGCCCTTCAATCAGCATCTTGATATCAATTTCCAAAAAAAAAAAACGAAAACAAATAAAGAAGTTTTAACGATTTTTTAATACCCTCTACTACGACTACGGGATTCAATTTTCGAACGAGTCCCAACTTAAATTTTGGAGGCTAGTAAAATGCAGTTTAATCCTTCAAAATACCATGAAGTGGGAGGTACATACATGAACCCACTTCAAAAACATTACTAAAATCCTTAAAATGCCGAATATCGGGAGATACCATTATATGGAGGCTATAGGAAAGAGTAGACCTATATGGACATTTTTTGTCCAAGAGACTGGCACGCACTTTTTCCGTTTTCCAATAAAAGAATGTGTCTACAATCATCAGAATACCGAATATCGGGATGTGCCGTTATAAGGGGGCTAGAGAAAAGACTTTGACCTATGTTGAAAATTTTTTGCCATTGAAAATTTCATAATTAAAATTCAATAAAATTCCATTGAAAATGTGGCTAAAATGCTCCAGATATCGAATATCAGATGAACTGTTGACAGAATTTACGAAGCGGACCTTTTTAGACAATTTTTTTCTAGGGGGATAATTCTATTCTATTCCAGACCACTCCATAGAAAAACCAGACTGAAGTCATTAAAATATCGAAGATCGGCAGATCTGCCAAAGAGATAACTACTTTGGGATGCCGTTATATGGGGGCTATTGTATATTGTGGACCTGAATAGCCCATCTTCGAACTTGATCTGATTGCAGACAAAAACTCAACTCTAGCATTATTACGGACTGAAATGGCTAATTAATTTTGGAATCAAGAATATATATACAATATGGGGGTATTTCTCAGAGGAAGAAAATTAATTATACACAGTTATGCTACTTTTGTTCTATAACGAATAGTCCCAAAACCAAATTATGGGTTTTATTAGTACATTTCGATATTAAAAACTACCTACACAACATCATCTTTCCACTTTTTGAACACGGATTTGTCGTAGGAAACACACATCAAACTACCCCCAGTAGTCCAAAAGTAAGTTAAACCAGTTCGCAAAGGGTATAGTCTGCCGGTCCGACCATTTGATACCCTACACCACCCCAATTTGCGGTAAAATTTTTGCAGATCTGAAACCCTTTTGACTAGAATGAAGATTCCTCCAAAAACATCCCCAAATATACTACATAATAAGAGCCAATGTTGAACCTAATTGCTACCCTTTTCTTTAATTTTCAAAAAAAAAAAAAAACATTACAATTTCCAAAAACATACGATCTTTAAAAAACATCGATATTTTACAAAGCAGATTGTGGTTCTTTTCACCAGCTAAATATTATCCGATGACTATCCAAAATTCTGGGCTTCAGTAAATTTGTTCGGAATCTAGAGCGATTCTCACAGACAACATTGTAAAAACGCCATAGAATTTTATGCTTCTCAACAATGAATATTTTGAAGTGTTACAAACGGAATGACAGCCTTAATATACGCTCCATATTGTGTATAAAAATGTGTTGAAAAGCCACAAAATACCTAACATTAACATATGCTAAATACCGATTATCGAACTCAATCTTGATACAAATAAAATACAAGAATTTTAATTCGGCAGGAAGACAACATGATAACATCAAAACGGATATTCTGGAGAAATTTTTCTTTCTACTATAGCGGGAAATAAAGTTTCAGTAACGAATCGGCAAAAGTCCCGCCGTCTAACATATCATACCACACTGGGTGAAAACAGAGCCTTCACGCGTGTTCTCCGTGAACAAAACATATCCACTTAGTTATGCGAAGTCATTGATAAACTGTTGAATCACACAATAACAAAGACAAAATAAACCCAGTTAAAAAATACAGTAAAGCCAGGTCTATGATTCCCTACTCCACCATCCATATCTAGCAGTCCTACGCGTAACATTTTCTCTTATATTATATATCACTGTAATGATATTGAAGATAAAGAAGCTGCAACAAAGTCAAACGCCATACTGTTTGTCGGAAATATCATCAAATTTTGGAATAAGTTTAGGCACGAATTATGGCCTTCAAATGGCCAATGAAACCGTCACACGCAGCCCGCATGTTTCTCTGCGGTATTTTGACCCATTCCCGGCAAAGCGCTTGCTGAGGTGATCGACACTTTGGTATTTTTAATGCCAACTTTGCTTTCCAAAATACTCCAGGCACAATAGTCCAAGGGATTGGTATCCGGAGATGGTCATTGTGCGCCGTAAGTGAAGCGAGGAACCTCATTTTGTAACCATTCTTGGATGGCGGGTACTGAATGCGATGGTGCAGAGTCCTGTTGGAATGTCCAAGGTCTGCGGCCAAAATGTTTGCGTGCCCAAGGCCAGAATATTTTCTTGATAATATTCGGCATTTATTCTGATGCTACGATCGATTAATACGAGCGGAGAGCGACCATTGACTGTTATGGCGGCCCACACCATCACCATGGCCGACTCTGGAGTTCTGGTGGCCAACCGAAAGTGCACATTTTCAGCTGACCTCTTTGGCAAGTAAACACGATCATTTTGTTTGTTTGCAAACTGCGGGACAACAAATGTTTTCTCATCGGAGAAACCCAAATTCGGCAGTTCACCACTTTCGGCCAAGCGAAGCAACTGTTTAGCTCTTTTGAGTCTATTTTCTTTCTGTTGCGGTGTAAGTTCTTGTACTTTATGAAAATTCAATGGCCTTACCCCGGCTTATTTTTTAATATTTGCCGAATGGAATATTGCGATATGTTTAGCTCACGAGTCATTTTTCGGCCACTGATTCGTGATCTGAACATATCGCAACATTCTATTCGGCGAATATTGAAAAATGAGCTGGGGGTAAAGGCATTGAAATTCCAAAAAGTGCAAGAACTTACACCGCAACAGAAAGAAAATACACTTAAAAGTGCTAAAGAGTTGCCGCTCGTATTAATCGACCGGATATTATCGCGAAAATATTCTGGAGGGTATATTAAAGCCTTGGGCATGCAAACATTTTGGCGGCAGACCTTGGACATTCCAACTGGATTTAGCACGCGCCACCCAAAGTCCCTCGCTTCATTTCCACCGCACAAAGGTCACCAAAATCTATGGATACCAATCCGTTGGGCTATTGTGACTGAAGTATATTGGAAAGCAAGGTTGGCACTAAAAAATACCAAAGTGTCGATCACATCAAGCAAGCTCTTCGCCGGGAATCGACCAAAATACCACAGAGTAACATTCGGGCATCGTGTTACGGTTTCTAAACTTATTCTAAAATTTGATGCTTATTCCGACATTTTTTGCTTTCGTTTAATAAAATTAAAAAAAAAGTAAAAATTATGGCGTTTGATTTTGTTGTAGTTTTTTTATCTCACCCTGTATATTGAATCTAGTTCTGAACTGGTTTAACCATATTATATATATTTACTTCAGTTCGGATATATTGGAACCATGTTCAAATCTTAACCGATAACAACTAATTTCAACAGGCATCATTCTTGTGCAAAAAAATAAAATATGAAAAATTCTTTAGAGGTCACCAAAAGGACGAAAAGAAATTATATACCGTACCGTTTCCTTTTGCATATTACAAACAAATGGACATTATAAGGGTATAAGACATGTCAGACTGGAGGAAACGTATAAAACTTTCGAAGTCCAACTGTGGTCCTCTTTGCTTAGCATGAAATGCAGTAAACTGTGCACAAACTTTAGAAGACACCTGAAATGTAGAAAAACTGACAAATCGATTGTCTTCGAGTTGTTAGGAAATTTATTTTAATTTTTTAATTTTTCCAGAATCACGGCTTCCGTGCGAACGACAAATCGCATGAATGCCTTGCTCTCTGAATCTATGCTGGGGCGACGCAAAGCCTTGACGAAAATGGCAACTGTTGACGGTGACAATGATGGCGAGGAGGGAAATTCAAAACCACCACGAGATTGGGAGTTTTTTAGAACCAATTTTAGCATGGAACAAGTTTACAAACTAATAGAGTCCTCCATTGAAGAACGTTTGACTTGGGATCGTTTCAGTCGTTCGTACGATTCATGGCGTTCTCTGCAATTGGCCGAAAGTCTGGCCAGTGATATACGTGATCGGGTGCGAGGATTTAATCATAAGAGGTAGTGCTTTCTAATCGCAAATGTTTTTAATTAAAGTCACATTTTCTCTATGTTTTTCTCTTTGGTACAGACATCGCATTGTTTGCATTTTATCTGTGATTGAGAAGCAGAATCAAGGCATTCACATGAGCATGCGCCACCTAATGGATGAGAAAATGGATAATTTCACCAAACTTGTCTATGAAAGACCATCGTATTTTATTGTGGTTGTCGTTTATTTAGTACACAAAGATTAAAAATAAAGATTTTGTAAATATTGGTTTATTTTAAAATTTAGGAAAACAGTAATAAACATTGGGACTTGATCGAATGATGCAAAATTCAGTCTAACTAGACAAATGTACCTTGTGTGCTGCATAATTTACCTGAAAGAATAAATTCAATTTGTTTGTACTGTATATTTATACAACTATTGTGAATCATAGAATTTTACATAGTCTAGACGCAAACCCAAAAGTTCACAGGGTGTTCCACATATGGGACGTAAAATTAAAACTTGATTGGATACACACATATCGAAGAGCTTCTTAGGAAACTTAAAGCATGTTTACTTTTATAGTGTAAATCCTTGTAAATTCATTGCCAGCCATTGAAATTCCAAAAAGCGCAAGAACTTACAACGCAACAGAAAGAAAATAGACTCAAAAGAGCTAAAGAGTTGCTTCGCTTTGCCGAAAGTGGTGAACTGCCGAATTTGTTGTCCAGCAGTCTGTAAACAAACAAAATTATCGTGTTTTCTTGCCAAAGAGGTCAGCTGAAAATGTGCACATTCGGTTGGCCACCAGAACTCAAGCGCCGGCCATGGTGATGGTGTGGACCATAACACCCAATGGACGCTCTACGCTTGTATTAATCGACCGTGGTATCAGAATAAATGCTTTATATTATTGCGAAAATAGTCTGGAGGGTGTATTAAAGCCTTGGGCACGCAAACATTTTGGCCGCAGACCTTGGGCATTCCAACAGGACTCAACACGCGCCAGCCAAAATAGTTACAAAATGAGGTTCATCGCTTCATTTCCAAAGCACAATGACCAACAAAATCTCCGGATACCAATCCGTTGGACTAGTGTGTCTGGAGTATTTTGGAAAACAAGGTTGGCAATACAAAATACCAAAGTGTCGATCACCTCAAGCAAGCGCTTCGCCGGGAATAGGTCAAAACACCGCAGAGCAACAATTGGACAGTGTGTGACGAATTCGATAAAATCTAAACTTATTCTAAAATTTGATGCTATTTCCGACATATTTTGCTTTCATTCAATAGATTAAAAAAAATGTAAAAATTATGGCGTTTGACTTTATTGCAGTTTTTTATCTCGCCCTGTATTTTTGCGGCTGATTTCATGTATTGGACAATATCACTCCATACATCTAATATTTCAATAAAATTTTGAATGTGTCACGGAATTTGGTAAAAAACATAAATTTTCCAAGTTATATTGAAATCGGTTCAGAGTTAGATATAGTTCCCATATATATTTTACGATTTTATGTATTCGATGCACCAAACATGCTATGTATCTCTAATTTCAATGTGTAACGGAATTTGTTAAAAAAATTCGAAAATTACATTGAAATCGGTAATAATTTGGATAGCTCCCATATATATTTTCTGCCGAGTTCATGTATTTGATCCACCAAACACGCTATAAATCTCTGATTTCAATTAAATCTGGAATGTGTGAGGAAATTTGGTCTACAGATAAATTTGTCAAATTATTATCCGTCCAGATTTGAATATAAATCCTACATAAAGTTAACTGTTTCGCATTCCATCCCCAAACATGTTTTTCGTTTTGTTTTATTTTCTGCCGTGCGAAACTTCTTTTACTTTCCGCCATTTTCAAGAACTGGAAAAATTTTAAAAAGTTCTTTTGGGAAATACCTCTCAAATGAAACCCGTTATATGGGGACTATACGAAGACGAGTTCGAGGAATTTTTTTGTCATTGTCTGTAGCACCAATTCCTAACAAAACCTAAACAATTCCCATGAATAATACCTCTAAAATCATCAAAATAACGAATATCGGGAGCTATGGTTATATGAGGGCTATACGAAGACTTGGACCTGCATACGCGATTATTTGAAACAATTCCGGTAAAATATGGAGGCTATACAAAAACGTGGACAGACTTGGCCAATTTAAGAGTATTTCGAAGAGTTACAAAAACAAAGTTAATATACCCTCATAGTATTGTGGAGGGTATTAAAAGAGAACATAATTAAAAATTCATTTTTTTCGAAAATCGATTTTGAAAGTGTATATTTCACTATTTCAATAGGGCCCGCCAAACTACTTTCTTTTTTTTTTTAAAAAAGCAGTGACGTGTAGTCCTTTTGAAAAAAAAATGTTGCCAATATTGTCCTCTTCAATTTGTGTTAAAAAAATTCGTTCAGTATGACCCGATAAATTAAATGCCACTTTTCGCTCATTTTCGAAGGAAAATGGTCCAATAAAGCCTCTTGACCAAAATCCGCACAAAATAGATATTCGATTTAGGTGTATCCACTTTTCAATATATGTGTACGGGTTTTCTGAGCCTCAAATGCAACAATTTTGCTTGTTTAATAAATACAAAGTTGACGCGGTTCTTCTTCTTCCAAAATCCGTACGCAATTTTCGCAACATTACCATTATTTACAAAGCAATGTAACAAAATTTACAAGCATTTTTAAAACCATATTCGTTTAGCAGAAGTATTAAACTAATAATCTTTCATACCAGACAATAGCTGAGTGTTACCATTATTAGATATGATATGATAGATTAGATATGATACTAGATATGAACTATTAACTAAGCTTAGAATGAGCTCAGCAATGAAAAAATTAAATATCGTTGGGCCGCCACTAAACGTTATATTTTTTTGTGCCAGTTTGTATATATATATGTTTGATCAGGACAGGAGTCTGTATCGATTTAGATATGTTCGTCCGTCACCTGTGGAAATTACTTTATCTTCCGAACAGAATGAAGTAAGTGCATAAACTTATACTCAGAGGTCATATTCCCCATAAAGCTTTACTTCAAGAAATTGGGTATTTTAATCATTCGTGTCACATTTTTCACCGGAATTGTTTCAAATGCGGTGTTTGGAGTTCGTACTGTTTACTACTGGAACCTGCAAAGGTCACCATATAATGGTACCTCCCTACATGCAATATTTTGTCGATTTTATTTTAAATTTACCATTTGGAGTTTGCATTGGGTACTACTTTCTATTACAGAAAATTTCTTGTACAGATCCACGTCTTCGTATAGACCCTTATATAACGGTACCTATATTTGGAATTATCTCTAACATTGTATTTTGAGTTCGTAATATGCATCGTCTTCTCTGGCAGTTTTCCTATAGTCCCATATAACTGTTACACATGATATTTGGAATTGTAAACATTGCATGTTCTTTTAAAATGGTGGTAGGTATAAACATAACAACCCGGCCGAACTTAGTTGCTGGGCACAGTGTGATACAAAAATTACCATATGTAGTTCGGGCTTAATCGTGGAATTTCTTCACTTTATATGTGGTTTAATATTATTCAAAAAATTTACCATCATTACACTGCTTTCAGTATTTGTTGAATATTTTGATCCGTTGGAGGAGCTTTTCCCTCTGACTGTCCTGAACTTGACTGGATGAGATACACAAATTATGATATCCAACATTTCCTTCTTATGTAATATTAGTACTTATATGCATAATTCGACCTTTCCTTAACATGGACACAATTCTGTCATATAGATCATGGTACGAATTTGTGGGATCTAATATATTTATTCTGATGGATATTAAATGCTGAAAATTTGATATTGAAGTGAAGTGGACTGAAAGCGAAACAACTATTAGTTTCAATTTTATCTGTACGAGTACTGCAAATCTCTGGCAATTGAACTTTTCTTAAAAAAAAGAAAACAAATACGTCACACATATTTCCCCCTTTTCTAACTTTATGCTCTAAAAATTTCATCAATCGGTCTATAATTGTGACTTTTGGAGTAAATGGCGATTTTTACCTATAAACTTTATCGATTATCGATCTTATAACTAAAAGAAAATTCATGTGAAATTTTGTATGATTTTGACATGTAGAGTGATTACAAAAGAGCATGGACGAACAATTCAGCTTTTCGAGATGGGAATATGCTGAGACCAATATTACTGGGAGTTGCGTTGTGGACCAAAGCAAATTTATGATATAATCATGTGGGGATATACATAACAAGCTGCTTTTTTAAAAATTTCTGATTAGTGCAAAATAAAATGAATTTCCATAGGGTTAGATATTCTTAAATTTGGTTATAAACCGTAGATGACAAACTAATATTTCTTTTGTTCAAAATGAAATAATAATTTATTGTTAACAATTAATTATTAAAATCTTTATTAATTTATATCTCATCACTTTTTAAATGTCAAGGCGCCGTGGCTTAGTTGGTTAAAGCGCCTGTCTAGTAAATAGGAGATCGTGAGTTCGAATCTCGCCGGGGCCTATGAATAGCATTCATACATTTTTACATTGTTGATATACTCTGACATTGAAATTATTCCATTAATAAATATCTCATATCAGATAGGAGATGGAAAGAGTTGGCCTTGTTTAGTAGTCTGCATAACGAATAATACGCCCAAATGTTTCTTTCCCTTTATCAAATATTTAATATAAAGTGGAGACGTGGCTACATCAGGTATATTGCTTAAGCAATTCAGAATATTTTTCAAAGAAGATAATTCATCTAATTACATAGTTTTACATCTGGTAGTCAAAAAGTAGGCCAATGGTACGAAATTTTAGCCCTTTTAGGATAATATTTTATCCTGCTCTACTTTGGATATTTAACACATGTGTTTGCCGCAACAAATACATTATTGCAATTGTATAATTGATCAGACTATTTAATATGTTACCAAATAGAATAGTTTTTATACCCTAGACTACACGGTGTTCAAAGTTATTTTTGTATGTATTAATGTATTCTGTGAATTAAAGTATTTTTTGTCGCATTTATTGTCTGATTGAGATGACATTAGGTAAACAAAATTTGTTCCGCCCAAGGACGAACCCTGTTGAAATTGGTGATAATCGGTCTAAATTTAGATGTAGTTCCCATATATTTTGTCCCGACTTCAATGTTATTGTGTGCCAAGTGGTTATATTCAACCAAATTAAATGTATTTCGGAACGAATTCGAATTCAGCCTAGAAACAAGTATTTCACATTTGGTGAAAATCGGTTCAGATATAGCACCCACATATAGGTTTCATCCGATTTGATGTTTAAGTCT